GGGGAGGGAGGAGTATTTGTTAGGTTAGACAAAGTGTTCGTAAGTATGTTTATTTAATTATTAGAAATAAATTATAGTTGTCAACTATTTAATTAGTTTAATAATTTTCAATAAAAATATAAAAAAATTACATTTAACTCACACGATAATTTTTTTAGTATTAACTTCTCGATATTCGATAACTACATTAATTCCTGACTAACTCAAAATCAAATAACATCGAATCTTATTAAAGGGGATGCCCTCTTAATATTTATTTTTTCATTAATAAAATTCAAACTCAAAATTTTATTTAAAATGAATCAAACTCCTTCCATTTAAATTAACAAATAGTTAATAACTTACATGATATGTGAATGGATTAATTAAGTGATAGAAAGGGTGCAACTCAAAATTTAAAATGAAAATTAGTTATACTATCAAATTGATGGTAAAATCATATATATTCTTAATTATAAATTTAGATTTTAATTTTGAATATTTACATATAAAAAATAAATAATTATAAATAATAATAATAATTTATAAAATAATTAATATTTATTATTTAATAAATTTGTTGTATATATGTGTTGCTAAAAATTAAAAAATAAAAAAGCCTGTGTGACGATTGTAGTAGAGGGGAGTTGAACCCAGCTCTAAGCTGGGGGCCATGAGGAATTGACGCGCTTTTCAATGGGCCAAGGGCCCTAGTGCCCCGATGAAGGATTTGTTGAATGATCGAAGGGTTTCCAACCCAACATCAGCGATGTTGAATTTGTCGTCGTCTAAATTGGCAAAAACCCCTCTTAAACCCTTAATTTTATTTTAAAATAACATAAAAATAATATAAATAAATCTTTTAACTTTACTAATAATGCAAATAAATCCTTTTCATGACTGTATATATTACTGTAGACTAATTACATTTCTTTTTTGGATTTCCTCTAATCCAAAAAAAAAGAAAAAAGAAAAAAAAAGAAGCTTTTGTGGCGATTACGTAAGAGAGGAGTTCAGTTGAACCCAGCTCTAAGCTTGGGTCATGAGGAATTGATGCGCTTTTCAATGGGCCAAGGGGCCTAGTGGTCCGATGAGGTATTTGTTGAATGATCGATGGGTTTCCAATTTCCAGCCCAACATCAGCAATGTTGAATTTGCTATCGGCTAAATTCGATTTGAATTTTCACTGAGTATTTATTTATTTATTTAGTAAGAAGTTTAAAGATATTTATTTATTTATTTATATGTCATATTAGTTAAATTAAAAAAAATTTATTTATTTTTTTTTTATGAATAAAAATGAATTATAAACTATGAGTACAAGGGGTACTCGCCCATTACATTAGGATAAGTGCTGTATCATATTAAAAATGAGTAGTACATAATTTTGGGAATTGACACCAGTCACTAAAACAAAAAGCAGCAGGTTTCAATTTACCTTTTATCCAAGTAAATGTTTTGGTCTTTACTAGCTCGATTAAATTGTCCTCATCCCATTCAAGTTTATTGAAAGCAATTCCATTTCTAAAATACCAGATGGCCCAAGCAATAGTAAATATGGAGAGGACCCAACAATATTTAACATCTTGAGGGACTGGTAGTGAGCAAAGCTGAGTAAGCAGATCGAGGGCCTTATGAGGAAAAACAAGAGAAAAACCCCACCAACAACATATGCGGCTCCAAATGCTTTGTGGCAAAAATATGATTTGCATCCTCTAAATAACCATTACATAGCACACAACTAGATCTAGATGCTAAGTCAATACCACGTTGGATGAGATTGTCTTTTGTGGGACGGCGATTTAATAGAAGACGCCAAGAGAAGACATTGACTTTTGTGGGTATAAGATGACTCCATATTAACTTGCAGTAGAATATATCCAGACAAGGGGGAGACATGTCAAGAAAAAGATATGCCATTTTTGTAGTATAACCAGCAGGGCAGTGCTTCCATATAAATTGATCTGATTTTCCTACAAAGATGCTGACATTTTGCAGGATATCTTCCAAGATTTGAAGCTCATCTAGTTCTCTTCCAAAAGGGGGTTTGCACCATTGGAGAATCCATCCCTCACCCTTGGTTGGTTTTAGATCAGCCACCAATAAGTTCTCGCTAAGAGTGAGCTTGAATAGTCGAGGGAAAACAAGCATTAGTGGAGAAGTTTCCACCCAAGCATCTTTCCAAAATCTGGTTCCGTATCCTTCACCAAGTTGACAAGAGAAATCGTCAGAGAAGCACTTGGTATTTCTTTCACAATCCCTGCTAATAGATAAAATATCCTTCCAAATTGCAGATATTTTTGAAGATATAGTGTTGGAGATTGAAACAGTTGAAGTGCCACTATAGTACTTGCTAATAGTTATCTTCTTCCACAATTTCTCATTTTCAGCATCATCATAAAACTTATCCCACCACTTTCCTAAAAGGGCAATATTTTTAATAGCAAGGTTTGGGATGCCAAGGCCACCCTTATTTTTTGCTAGATATACCCTTTCCCAGTTTACCCATGCAATCTTCTTAGACTCATCTGAGTTCCCCCATAAGAAGTTTTTTTGTATTCTAATGAGCTCTTTTAAGATGCCTTTAGGAACTTTAAAGATAGAGAAGTAGAATAGAGGTAGAGCAGAAAGTACCGACGTGAGAAGAGTGATGCGACCACTGATTGAAAGAAGCTTTCCTTTCTAAGATGCCAATTTTGATACATTTAAGTTGTTTAATAAAAAATACTTTTTTATAGTAATTTGATTTATTTATCATTGTTTATTTTTATTTTATTTATAAAAAATTTTCATAAGAAAAATCTTTAAAAGGAAAATAATTTCTTTAACATTTAAAATGTTTATAAATAAAATGTTAAGAAAAGAAAATGACACTTATTTTCCTTAAAGTTATTCTATAAGTTTTTTTTTTTTTTCTTATTGTCAACGTCATATTATTATTATTATTAATCTAATAAAGGCATTAGCTCATTACATCGATACATACTTTAGTTCTATTCATCAAAGAAGAGGGCAATCTTCACAAATAATATGATGGATATTTAGTGGGTATTCCTCCATCCAGACCTGCTCCCAGACAAGATTCTCAGTCATCCTAGCCAGCGCATGAGCTACCCTCTTTGCCTTCCCTCTTGGCATGCCTACGCTCCGCTGGTTCGAGCTTATTTAACAAGACTTGGCAGTCATCCAATACGCCCCCTAACTCTTGTACTCGTGAATGAGTTCCGTCTCAATGAACTTTAACTAGCTGGGCATTGTCAGATTCAACTACCAGACTTCAGACCCTTGATGCCCATCTCACACGCCCACTCCGAAGCTCTTCTCATACTCTTTGCTTCAGTCGCCATCAGATCACACATAGAATCGAATCAAAGGGACATTGCTTCCAAGACCTACCTGTCCACACCCCGTATTACAGCTCCCATCCGAGACCGACCCTGGGCATTGTCTATATTAGTATTTTTGACTGCTTAAAAATAGTATATTCTCTAAAACTTTTTAAAATTTTGTGGAAGAAGATTTCTAAATCAAATATAGAATAGGAAAAAGGAAGTAAGAGAAATGAAAGGTTTTTCCCTATTTATGTGTGTGTTTTTTTCTTTTTTTATAATTTGTGTGGTCTAATAAATATTGACTAATCAACATCAATATATTATAAACTCAAGGTAGAAATCATCACTCGCAAGTCATAGTTACAAGTAATACAAAATAAATAACGTTAGCTCAGATCTCTATCCTTTTAGTGAAATCCCAAAAAGTTGATCCAACAATGGAATTAGTAGCTATCAAGAACATTTCTTTCATCGAATTAAGAATGAATTAATTTTAAAATATACACAAATTAACTTGGCACTAATTCGCTAAACAAAAAAAATTAGATTAAGGTGACTCGAACCTAAAACCTATCACTGCTATAACGAGGCATTTTTTATTTTTTATTTTTTATTAAAAAAAAACAGCAACAATAAACCAATCACCGAATAGATCGGCAACTGCCCGTCTTTCCTCTTCGAATTTTATTCCGACTTCAAAGCAGCTGCCCTTAACGCCACCAGCAACGACTCCTCCTCCTCCTCCTCCTCCTCCTCCCTCAAGGTCAGCTCCTATTCTTCTGCTACAAATTCTTCATCTTTTTAATCTTTCTTTTATTTCTTTCCAAATTTTTTTTTTCAATTTGTTCTTCAAATTTATGACTTTTTTTTTTCTTTCCAATTTGAAATTTCGAATCATCATGTTGTATTAATGCATTGTATTTCATGATTTGGGAGGGTGAATCTAGGGGTTTTTTTGTTTTAGATCTGGGTTTTTTTGGAGCTTCGATGCTTTTTCAAGGCATTGTGTTGTTCTCTTTCGAAACCCTAGTTTCTTGTATGATAGGCGACAAACCTGAGGAAGAAGGGGGGGGGGGTAATTATTATCTGGTTTTATTAGCCTAATTTCTTGCATTTAGTGGGTTTTGTTTTGTTTTATATGGGTCTCAATCAAGATTCTGGGCAGCAATTTTCTTTCAGTTTTCTTGCATTTACTCATAATTTCTTGCATTGTTTTTAGCAGTATGCAAAGTCTGGTGATTATGATGGCTATTGATGCTTGAATTGATAGAATGGCTAGTTTATGGGGGGTTTTCATGGATATTTATGATTTGCTTTGGTTGGTTCTGTTACGTTCTTTTGTAGGATTTAGAATCTTAAATTGAATGGAGGGATTGGGAGGTGACACCTTATCAGCAGCATCACCTGCATCTCAGTGGAGGAACGATGCATGGAGAGTGTATCAGTTTTATCTGGATAAGACTACTCCTCATGCGGTTTATAGGTGGATTGGAACCCTTGTCATAGCTGCCATCTACTGTTTGCGGGTCTATTCTGTGCAAGGGTTTTACATTGTTTCTTATGGTCTGGGAATCTATCTGCTGAATTTGCTTATTGGGTTTCTCTCACCTCTGGTTGATCCTGAAGTTGAAGCTACTGATGGGCCTTTACTGCCAACAAAAGGTTCAGATGAATTCAAGCCATTTATCCGCAGACTCCCTGAGTTTAAATTCTGGTAATTGAAATTTTATGTTTTGTTGGTTATTATATTGATTTTTGTTTTCAATCTTGATTTGCAAGGTGATCTTATGCATTCTCAAGATAATTTTGTCAGCAGTTTTTCACATCTTTATTTTTTTCCCATTGATTGTTTCAATTGATGGGGTTTACCAACAATTGACATAGGCTAGTCTAGTTATGGATCTTAGAGATATGTTACTTTTCAACTGTCCGATGCCTGATATATATAAATAGCTTCTTAGCCCATAAAGAAAAAGCTCAGAAGATTGTGAGAACTTTTGGACCTTTTCATCACTGATGCATTTATTCTAGCATGCAATACTTTTAAGATTCTGTCTTAAGGTGACTTGGTTTTCATTACCTATGTTGCAAATATGCTCATAAAGTAGAATAGCTTGTCAAGCCAAAAAATTATGGTGGCTTGACTTAGATGAATAGGGATTCACATCCTGTCTTAATGTTGCTGTCGTGACAATGTGTGGGAATGGAGGTAAGGTAATACTTCTTTTTGCTTTTATTATTATAGGTACTCCATAACGAAGGCTTTTTGCATAGCATTTGTCATGACGTTCTTTTCCATGTTTGATGTTCCTGTCTTCTGGCCTATTTTACTCTGTTACTGGATTGTTCTCTTTACTCTCACAATGAGACGCCAGATTGCTCACATGATCAAATACAAGTATATCCCTATCAGCATTGGAAAGCAGGTGAGCTTCGAAGGTCTAAAGATGGAGGAGGGAATCCTTATTGTTCTCAAAGATTTGGTTACCTGACTGATAACTATCCTTTTTTCTTATAACATTCAGAAATACACCGGTAAGAAATCTTCTGCAAGTAGCAGCAGCTCTCGTGAGGATTGAAGTTTGGCTGGTTCTTCAGTGAAATAGCCAAGGACCTGGATGGGAAAAAAAGAGGTAGGCATGCGTGAAGATTCATGATAATTGATTTTCACCATTAGAGGATATGCATTTCTGTCGCTATGCATTTTAATTTCCAGTTTCTCCAAACGTACCTCGGAAGAAGTGCTAACGCTGCAGAACTGAAACGTTATTTGTTTATATACAAGGTTATGAAGATTTTATTGAAGTACCATTTTTAGATTTGGGAATGCATTCTGCATGACAAATTATTATCAATACCTGCTTGGTTTCTTCTGTGTTCGTTTAGTAGTAACCAAAACTTGCCGGGAGCCATCTCTGGAAAAGATTGTAGGTGTACTTGTTTGTTGCAATATGAAACTGCAGGATTTCCCTCATCTTTTGTGTATTGGAATTTCTACCATTAGTTTTTTGAGAATTTGCAGTTTTGACATTCTTTGCG